AGGATTTATGTGTTTCCCTCTGGGAACACTCCATCGCTGCACCATCATAGTATATGTCAGATCATCAGGTAAGCTCTTTAGCCCAAGTTGCTTAAAGTGTGACAAGTAAAAAAGATGGCCCACAACATGGTGACAAATCCCTCCAACACCTGCTACACAAGAACACTTTCCAGACACTGTTGTTTGATCCATACCAATTATCACTTGAAGGGAATGTGGTGTTTCATTTTCTTCATCGATCTGTAGCATCTGGCCAAAAAAAAATGCCTCCGAGTCACTATATGTAACTGAAATTTGTAAAATTAATTAGGATCAGTCTTTACCACTTTTTAAGGAATGGTTTCATAACATGAAAGGCGAAAACATCAGCAACTTTCAGGAGACTACACCAATTTATTTACCAGTGCACTTACTTTTGATGTTATGGAGATATCCTGGTTCTGCAAAATATTTGTAAACTTTTGCAGTGCTTTCACAACCCGTTCAACGTGTTGCATATTTCTCTACATCGGTGAAGGTTATACTCGGTAAATGTGAGGGTCCACACTTGGATTACTGAGAAAATCGGTCCAATCAAACAAAGCTAAATAGCGTCAACCTTCGGTAAGTTTCGCATTTTGTAGACATGCAACTAGACTACAATTCTTGACAATCTTTACCTAACCCAAAGAGAGGGCAGAACTCTTGCGAAAAATCGAATAAATGAATGAATACATGAATCAGTTGATAGGATTAAGCTTGAATAAACTTTCGCCTGCCATTCGTTCGTTCCCGACGCGTTAGAAGTAAAAGTGAATACAAATATTCGATCACAGAAGCTCTTTGGGCATTATGCAAATTTGACGAGTGGATAAAGATCGTTTTGTTCCAAAATAAAGAAGCTAATAGTGCAAATACTTGTGTTACTGACCTTTCGTGACCCCACGAGGCAGCCATAGTTTCCCGTAGCAACCGATTTGTTTGCCCTCCAACCTGGCGGAGATCACGTGACTTCTTAGTGCAAGGAGCCTATTGAGCCAGGAGACCATTACTAATGTAATGGTGCGGACTAACAGGCTCCTGGTCTTACATCGAAACGACGTGGGAAAAAAAAGGCAGTAATGCTTAATATTCTACTTGCGTTTTGTGGCTAATGCACACGCTTTTAAGCGAGATCTGAGCATCTCATCAGCGTCAACCACCTTATTCTGACCTTTAAGATCTCTCTCAATCCTGGCATTCATAAACTCGTTTATTCGAGTATTTGCCAATTTTGACACCAAGTCTTTAAAGATACCAACCATTATTTCCGCGTCAGTGTCCACCAGGTTCGAAAGGGAAACCCACCAGCAAACGAAAGTCTATTTGAAGTGTTTCATTGTTTAAAACTGCTTTCTGACACATTCTTAAAAACTTTGTTGGGTATCAATGAAGGTTACTCTCGGTTGCAAATTCCCGCACTTCGTCCTATACAGATCGCAGAAACGTGATCATCTCATCTCTGGGAAACACTAGATTTCCCTCATCAAGATTTTTCAGACTCGAGGAAATGTCCGATTTGTCCTTCATAACTAGTTGCGGTAAAATTTCCAATTCCTGCTCCATAACCGGTTTCCTCCGTTTTGACAAATCTCGCCGTCTTTTTTTTTCCTGCAAGAGTCTCCTTCTGTAGTTTAATCATATGCTGCAGAGCCGCCCCACAATACCGTAACGAAGTATCCTCCGATTCTTTCAATAGTTGACATCTTCCTTTCTGAAATGTGTACCTAGGTCCCAGTCCCCTTCAAATTAACTAGTAATTTTGAAGTTGAATTATCGCGCCACGCATCCGAGCATTCAAGTCAAATTATCGGATTATGATAGATACTAATTAATTAAGACAAAAGTCGCGGGTACATAAATCACTTTCTTTTACTCAAGAGGAACGCAAAGTCGTTCAAAAGCTAATGTGTCCAAACCTGCAAAAATAGAGAACTTTGTTAGTCAAAAGGTAAACATCACTGATACAGACATGTCTTATCATAAGGGCCGCTAGGCGTTATTGGGCGATTTGTATGTGGAGTTCAGTGACACGACTGAGAAGCTTCCAAAGTAGCTTTCTTTCCCCTTGGATTTCTGAGGTTTGGATTAAATCACCTTTAAACCTTATTATATTGATTGTCCTGCTGGTCAATTATCTCGGAAAGAAATTTTTTTACCATCGATCAATAAGTAGGCTAAGCTTAACTCATTTTTATCGGGACTATTATCGTTTCTGGGTCATGTTTACTGCGTGTTTTCACACGCAATAGCCTGTCAGTAGTAGCCTGT